ATGCATATATATTCGAAAAATTACTAAAGTCTGTTGTGAAGACTTTCATTTTGCATATAAAAGTGTATGACAAGGCAGTTTTGTTGTTTTATTTTTGCAGAAGACTATGGTTGAGTTTAGTCATTCGTATTTACTACAGCATTCATGTGCTTCTTTCGGAATCTAAGGGCCATTCTCCCTCATTTCTGGTCAAAATTGGTTGAGCTTTCGTCAATAATGCCGTTTAAAAGACTTATTCCTGCAAGCGCTTTAAGTTGATATTATGTCAAGAAAACTTGCTGCTATGTCCATAACTAAAAAGAAAATACCTATATATAGATAGATGAATAAAAGGCTATCTATAATCTTAGATAGATAGATAAATAGATAGATAGATAGATAATGACTTCATTAGTTCTCTTTCATGTTAATCAGGATACTCATAGTTAACATCTGTATGAATACGCAAGACCGGTTATAACTCGGAAAACATACAAAAGAGCACAACGTCTTTAAGGTTTAGCAAACCCAAAGTAACTCTGATTGAGATGATGATGTGTACGTCTATTGGCTGTGAAACCACTAGTCTTCTATTTTTAAGGTTTAGTGAGCCGATAAAAAGCACGATTGAGACTGCAAAATTGCGTGAAAAATGCATTGAAGGAATGTGAATGAATCTGAATAAAGCCTAAACAATTTTTTTTAACAGAACGCAAAATGCAAAGGTTTCCTCAAGACTGCGATTTTCTTGACTTCACCAAAAGTGTGCTGGATGTGCTGGAGGCAGTGGGTGCTCTCCCGGCTCCTGGAAGGTGTGTATTCGATGTGGAGATCAAGTTGTCTCAGACCTGCGGAAGTGAGGCAAGAGGGAAAGAGAATCAGTCTCCCTTCACAGGGAGGCAGAGTGAAGTAGATACAGACCGTTGAATTGGTCGCATGAACTTTCTATGCTTGGGCTAGCATCAAAGCCTAACCATGCACTCAGCGTTGGCCGAACGGTACCAAGAGACGTGGCGACGCACAGAGACCGACTGGTTGCTGGCTGGCTGTATCGGCTTGGCCGCAGACAAGCTCGGGGACACTTCGGCGGACAGGTCTGTGTACCAAAAGTGCAGATGCAGGTGGACGGCCAGTCAGGCCAGGCGTCCAGACTGTTTGGTATATAACTCGACGGCAAAGGCTGTCGTCTCACTGTCCTGGGTGCTGCTGTTCTGTTGTCCTTGTCAGTTGACGCAATTTTGTGGCTCTCCGAACCCTTTCTCTGAGTTGTCAGGCGTTTCGAACGGCCCGCAAGTACGTCTTTCCACCACGGCTGCACACCTACAAAACCTACTCATTCAGCTCATCTTTGTGGTATTGCCGTTAACCACATTTATTCGGATCCCTTATACCTTTTTATGCCTTTTACGCCCAGTACAGATTTCTGCTGATCTACCATGAATCCGAGCGATCCAGACTTTCTCTATTTGGGTGTTGACCGGAAGAAGGTGATGAAGGAGGCAGAGGCGGGGGGAATGGACTCAAAAAATCTCTGCTGGGTGGAGGACGAGAAGGAGGGATATATTCTTGCCGACATAGCCGAAACTACTGGTGACATGGTGACGGTGAAAAAGAAGGATGGTGTGGTAAGTTGGTTTTTATTGTTCATGTTGGTCTGATTGCTTGATTCGCACCGGTCAACGGTTCATTTCAATTAGTTCCACTTCTCGGCGGTTAAATGTTCGCTTTGTCTTTATTTATGCTGCTTCTAAAGGAGAAAAAGGTCCGAAAAGACGATATTCAACAGCTTAATCCTCCAAAGTTCTTCTTGATCGAGGATATGGCCAACCTGACCTTCTTGAATGACGCTTCCGTCCTGGAGAACCTGCGAGCCCGCTATTACAGGAATCTGATTTATGTAAGTTATTTAACATCATTACTCATCATTTAAAAGGTATTTGTTCATATATTAACATTACAAGGTCCCATTTTATCTCATCGACACAATGGACGTTGTCCGATTCATGAACTGTCCTATAGCAATAATAGATCACATTTATACGCAGGTATATGTGCTCATGCGTCTATAAAGGAAATTTATTTATTTACTCATATATATATATATATAGATAAGCAAATATAAATATAAAAATAAACACACATCCACATTTAAGTAAATATATGCTTATGTGTACATTTGTGTGTATGTATGTATGCACGCATTCGTGGATACAGAAAGTGCAGTGATGC